TACTCAGGGACAGTTCTTTCATTTGTTTTTGTTTTTGTTTTTTTCCTCCCAAAACCCAAATTGCAAAGCCTAAAGAATTTTTTGAATAGCCATGGACACAACTTATTTGTGGCCTGCCAACTCTGATCACCACCCCAAAATAGTTATTTTGTTATTATTTATGATCAGACAATCAGATTACTCTGTGATGAAAAAACAGACTCATGGAACATTCCTTAGTTCTGGAAACCACATTTGAACAGTCTGTGATGAAATGAAACAGGCCCACAAATAGGAGAGAACTGGATGGCAGGAAAATCTCTGTTTAACAAGCCCAAAAAACTGATAGGGAAAATTACCAGCCCTGACTGAATATATGGCAGGGACCAGGAATTCTCATTTAATCCTCATAACAACTTTCATATCTGCATTTTGCAAAACTGAGGCTGGCCTTTCTTTCATCTTCTTTCTCTTGTATATTTTATGTTTTTATTAGTGCATCATAGTTGTACATAACAGTGGGAGTTGTTTTGACATAATCATACATGCATATAATTTGCTCCATCTCAATGCCAGTACTTCCCCCTTTCCCTCTCCTCCCTCCTCTCCCGATGCCCCTCCTCTACTCTATCAGTCTTCCTTCTATTCATTTTTATAAATTGATGCATTATAGTTATACGTAGAAGTGGAATTCATTTTTATATATTTATACATGCACACAGAATAATTTGGTCAATTTCATTCTGTGGTTCCTCCCTTTCCCCTCAAACCCCCTCTTGTACTGCACTGCTCTCCCTTCTATTTTCATAAGGTCTTTTTTATTACTTTATTTTTATTTCTCCTCCCTCCCTCCCTCCATCCCTTGCTGTTCCCCACTCTATCTCCCTCCCTCTCTCTCCCCATCACCCTCTTTCTCCTCTTTCTTTGTAGCTTCTACATATAAGATAAAACATTGAACTCTTGACTTTCTGAGTCTGGTTTATTTCACTTAGCACGATGTTCTCTAGTTCCATCCATTTACCAGCAAGTGACATAATTTTATTCTTCTTTATGGCTGAGGAAGACTCCATTGTGTAGACTGACTTCATAACTTGGCTGTTGTGAATTGAGTGGGATGCTGATTTCAGTTCTTTTGGATAAATACTAAGGAAAGGAAGAGTGGGTCATATGGTGGTTCCATTGCTAGTCTTTTGAGGATCTCCACACTGCTTTCCAAAGTGACTTTACTAATTTGCAGTCTCACCGACAATGCTTGAGTTTACATTTTTACCTGTCTTCGTTGAGGCTGGCCTTTTAGATACTGCCTAGTGTTGCCTTTGTTGATTAATGTTTAGAGTTTTGAAGGCTTTCATATTGAAAAATAATATGCTTGCTCTATGAGACCTCAGAGGACCAAACTCTCCTTTCAGTGTACAAAAACAAGAAGCAATCATACAATAGAAAAATTCTCATGGCCAGAGCCTTTCACCACTAAAAGCATTCTAGAATAGTAAGGTTGTTCACATTTCCATCATCCTAAAAAAGTAGATTGAGCACTGATTAAGAGGTCAAGTTAAATCTATGTTTTTCACCCATATGCCCCCCCTAATGAAAACCTATGGGCTTTTTGTTCATTAGATGTTTAATAGTTTAAGATATAGAATTTACAATGTATTGGTCATTTAAAATAAACTTTACATTATTTCTTAAAGCATATCCATTGGCAGCTTAATACCAAAGTGTTTAGATGCCTGATACTGATATCACCCATTTTTTTTCAGTAAGTACATAGTGATGCTGATAACGTTTTAATCAAACAGTCAAAAAGGATCAATAAAATTCATCACTTGATATTAAAATCAAGCTTTCAAAAAACCATTTGGAATTCATTTTTAACACAAGTCAAACTTATAACTCTGGTTTGTTATGACATGGCATAAATGCTTGTATAAACCTCTTTTACCCAGATAGGCAAGGAAATGATTATTTTAGTTATGCGAATTCTGTTAGAAAATTATAAGAGAAAGGCTAAAAGTATTTTTATGAAAATATTAAAAATTTTTAAGACATCAAAATATTGGATATAGAATGCAAAACTTTATTTTAATACCAAATAGCCATTCTTTCTTCATTTAGAAATTATACGGGTTTTGTACTTTTCACTGAATTACATAATTTAAGACACTCTCCAATTAATACTGTGGACATGTGTTGTCTCTAAAACCTTTCATAATTACAAAGAACTGTTACCAACTTATGACCTAAAAATTACACTTTTGGCATAGATATTTTAAATCTTATGCATCTATCAAAGAATAACTTTCAACCAACATGAAAAAATTAGTTAAAAAAACAAAATCAAGTTTAAAACAAGAGACTGGTATTTGCCTTCTTTCTTTGTTCAATTGTGTGATATACTGAAAATATTTGTGAAAAAAAATATGTTTGGCTTTGTAAAGCAGATTCCAAAAATGTCTCATGAATAATTTTATTGGAATCAATCAATATATACAAAATGTTGAAATAAATAGAAGACAAATGATCCTATATTGTTTTAAATGCTGATTGATTGACTCAGGGAAGAGTTTTTACTGCCATGTATAACTAAAGCAATTTAAAAAAAAAAAAGATTTACTATCTTGTTACTCCAGATCATGATTTTTCTAAACAAAAGGAATGGTTAGTGAATATTCAGTAATCAAAGACAAAAATGAGAGTGTCATTTAAAATTTTTCACCAATATGCACACTGTACAGAAATAAGTTTGAAACACCAAAGGAAAAGAAATGATTATCTATAAGTTTGCTTGTCAAGTATGAACTCCAGTTAAAATTGAAACTTTCCATAAAACAAATCAATATTAACTATATTACATATTTTCCCAACATGAGTCAATATATACTTTTAATTGTGATTGATAGTATGTTTTGTATATTTGTTGTAAACACTATAAGAAAGAAACATTTGAAGGGAACTGTTTAATATTAATGTTTGCAGTTGGTTTAAAATTTACACAATTCTCTCAATTTTATATTAATAATATTGAGTTGACACAAAATTATTTAACTCGCTTGGACAGCCTGTGTTTTTCCTGCAGTCAAACTAATTTTGCTAAAAGAGACAATCAAGTTTTGTCAACGTGGAGGATAATATTAAAGGAAAATGATTTTTTGCACTTAATTCAAGTATTGGAAAAACTTTTTAAACAAGTAGAATAATCCTAACTCTTAGGAAAACTACTAAATCAATTATATTACTTTTTCATGTGTTTCTAATGTGTTGGATACGTAAATCAAATTTTCAACTGTGAAAGTTTTTAAAAAGCAACAAAATAATCCTTAAAAGCTACAATTTTACATCATTTTCTTTCAATTTAAACATGTACTTCTTCCTATTGTGCATTTTATCCCATTGTAACAAAATTTTATGCTAAAAAATCCTTTTTAACCACCTATTTTATTTTCTAGAGTGAAGAAGACTCCAAAATTAATATTTAATTTCTGGTAGCTATAATATTTTATGTTTAAAATAATCAGAAATATTTCATCTGAATCAAATTGTTATTATAATTAGTAGTAGTAAAAAAACTGACCAAAATTATGATTACAAAGCTCAATTATATGAAATTGCTAATAATTACCTATTTTGATCTACAAATGGTAAATTTTTTTACTTTAAAAACTTTTAATGTTAGTTTCCCTAAGTTGGCATTACCATTTTCTTCATATTCATCTGAATCTCATCATTATGCATAAAATTGTTTTCAGAATCCTGCAAAGTCTTAGTAACATATATTTTGAGAAAGTGGAAAATAATCATCTATTGGTCTGATGAGTCCTACCCAATTTTATAATCTATAAAATAACAAAATGTCAATTTCATATGGCAATATATCATAATTTTTAAAAATAACTATCAAACTTAAATATAGTCAGTTCATCATCTCCATTAGGGTGTGAATCCAGAATTCCTGTGAATGCCAAAATCTGTAGATGCTCAGGACCTTTATATGAAATGGTATAATATTTGCGTATGACAAATTCGCACCCTCCCATATACTTTCTCTAGATTACTTATAATACCTATATAATGCCCACTCGTCACTTCGTTTACATGGACCCAGTGTAATATTTGGTACCTAGCAAATTCAAGATTTGATTTTGGGAATTTTCTGAAATTTTAAAAAATATTTTTGATGCATAATTGGTTGAATCCATGGTGATAAAACTTATAGATACAAAGGCATGACTTTAAGAAAGTTTTATGTAAAGATACCTAATGGAACAATGCTTTCTTTTTTATTAGTTCGTGTATCCAGAAGTGAGTATCACTTATTACTAGATAAATCTAACTACTAATGTTTTTTTCCTTTGTTACATGGGAGACAGGATAATGCATAAGGAGCCATCATGAAGACAAGATGAGTTTAGAGACAAATTATATGGAAATGATTAGGAAATTATACTCCTAATAATCTGGAAACCTACTCTCTTAAAATAATGTGTACTCATTGAGAAATATTTGGGCACAAGCAAGAATACCCTTGTGTGCATCTCCTAAAATGAAAACTGAATATTCCTTCATTGATTATGTAGCTAATCAACAGGTCTACTACCATGAATAAGATGTCTTGGTTTTAGTTTGTAGACTCATGGTATTTAGTGGTTAACAGTGTAACATTTGGGGCCACATATACATGACTTCAATTTTGCCTTTCATGAGCTTAAAGTGTGAACACCTCAATTTTCTAATTTACAAAACTAATAATAACAACAACAATAATCCTATTCTAAGATTTTAAGAGCATACAGCAAAGTCCCTGCTCAAGGTAAATGCTCCATAAATATTAGCTATGGTGATAGTGATGCTATTAATAGTAATGAAAAATTATACAACATTTTGGGAAACTATAAAGCACTTAATCCCCTCCCTTATCAGCATCATGTGTAGTTTGTACTGGGGCACAACAGTAAGAGTAACTAAATAGCCTGTTCATGAGTCTATGAAAATAATCTTTTTTTTGTTTGTTTTTATGGCAACAGATGGGCAACACCAGCTGGACCAGTGTGTCCCATTTTGTTCTCTTGGGTATTTCTACTCACCCAGAAGAACAGATCCCACTCTTCCTTCTTTTTCTACTCATGTACACAATCAACATTTCTGGCAATTTTGCACTCATCATACTTATTATCTCCACTCCTCACCTTCACACCCCCATGTACCTCCTCCTCAGTAACTTGGCCTTGGCAGACATCTGCTTCACCTCCACCACGGTCCCCAAGATGCTGCAGAATATATTTTCCCCTACAAAGGCCATTTCCTACATGGGCTGCTTGGCCCAGACCTATTTCTTCATTTGCTTTGCAGCCATGGAAAACTTCCTCTTGGCTGTGATGGCCTATGACAGGTACATTGCCATCTGCCGCCCGCTCCGCTACCCCATGATCCTGACAGGAAGGCTGTGTGCACAGATGGTGGCCGTATGCCACGTCCTCTCCCACCTTCATGCCCTGCTGCACACCTTTCTCATGGGCCAGTTGGCCTTCTGTGCGGATAACAGGATCCCCCACTTCTTCTGTGACCTCTACCCTCTGATGAAGATCTCCTGCACCAGCACCTACCTGAACACCTTGATGATCCAGACAGAAGGTGTGATTGTCATCATTGGAGCGCTGGCCTTCATCATGGCCTCCTATGCCTGTGTCATTTCAGCGGTCCTCCAGATCCCCTCAGCCAATGGCAAGTGGAGATCCTTTTCTACCTGTGGCTCCCACCTCTCTGTGGTGGCCTTATTCTATGGCACCCTCACATGGGTCTACTTCCGGCCCCTTTCCAGCTATTCGGTGACTAAGGGTCGCATTGTGACAGTCATGTACACTGTGGTGGCTCCCATGCTGAACCCCTTCATCTACAGCCTGAGGAATGGTGATATCAAAGGAGGTTTACGGAAATGGATGAGACTTTTTTTTTCTTTCGATAAAACCTCAAAACACAGTTCTGAGTTTTAACTATGATTCTAGGAAAATTGTTCCATCCCTCAGATCTTCTTCCCTTAGAATGTCTCAGAAATATCTTAATTAAATCCATATTATAAATTTTTCTCACCAAATATTTTCCTGGGATGTCTCGTAAACCCAAAGAACATGAAACAAAAGAGACTACCGTATCATTAGTACAAAATACTAATATCATTAGTACAAAATACAAAATACTGTAACTGAGGGTGTTCTGTGGGCCTACAGTTAAACAGCATCTGTAATTCTCAGGAATTCTTAGACTCAGGCAACAGAAATCAATGCTAGTGATTCATTGGAGGAAGTGAGTATCTCAAAAGGCTAAGTGGAGCTCAGAAGTTACCAAGACTGAGGAAACAAGAAAATGGACAAGAATAAGAAAAGTCGCATAGTCAAAACCACAGTCAAAATCATAATCGGGAACTAGTCCAGTGAGGATATGGCTGTAGTTTCCAAACTCTGTTCACTGCCAACTTGCAACTTGTACCCCTGCTAGCATTTCCAGCAATAGTCACTGGGTATAGCCCTCAGAGACCTACAAACTGGATATCACCATCTCCAGAAACACCTGCCCACGTGTTCTCTTCACCACTACCTCTAGATTCAAAATGAGATAGTGCGATGGTGCATCTGACTGGCCAAGAATGGGTCATTTGCCCATAATATATCTGCCAGGAAACTCAGAGAACAATATTAATGTTTGTATTTAATATAAATTTCTGTAGGACAGGTGAAATGGATTAACTACTTCAATATGGGAAGAGGGACATAAGGACAATGTCCACTCTATGGGGTCAAATGCTCTCAGTACCTTAGAATTAGGTGTGACCACAGCTCTCCAACTTGCATTTTCTCAAACTTCTTCAGCTGCACAATGATGACTAAAACTCCCACATCACAGCATGCCTCTGGTCTTTTCTGCAGTTGATATGTGGAGCTTGACTAATACCAGATGATTGCTGACTAATCGATCCTGTGCGTGGATAACAGGTTCTGGAGCCAAATCTCATAAGTATGGGGCCAAAAGGAGAATGTGAGAGGGGCCTCCCAGGGCGTGGGGCTGAAGATGCAAGTGTAGGCTGATTTCGATAAAGTTCCTTACAGAATACAAGTAGTTATGACACTGAATTAGAAGGAGCTAAAATTGTGGTAATTTGTCATGTGATAGAAAAAAATTATTTCTTGTAGCGTAATTATATATTAATAAAAATTTATTCCATTGGGGTGGATTTGAGGAGCTATATTTCCTATGTCTTTTTCTGCACCAAGTTAATAAATTCCATCAAGGTAAAGGGTGCTCTGACACTTATAAGTTAATGACAACAAAGAAATCATGCCAAGTTTTGATTAGTTAACTCTGGTTCCTCATATTTTGTAGAAAATATCTTACGTACTCAACATTTTTTCTGCTGAATTCTTTGTTTCCTCTTACTTTGTATCTCCATCTCAAGGTGGCAGGCAGTTCCATTACTGATCCCTTTTATTCTTTACTCTGATTAGACTCGATTCTTAACACTGGAGCCTTTTCTAAGAATCCTCCTTCTTCCATTAAAGAAATGTCTAAAGCTGGAGAAATAAACATGAGAGTATATGAATTCAGGAGTCATGCACCCCATCCATAATTTTGCTTTCCAGTTTCAGCTACCCACTTCAACTGCTGTATGAAAATATTAAATGGAAAATTCCAGAAATAAACAATTCATAAGATTTAAATTGCTTGATGCTTAGAGAAACATGATGAAATTCCACACTGTCCCCCTCCGTCTTGCCCAGGACATAAATCACCCCTTTGACCAGCATATCTTTCCTGCATATGCTACACTCCCATTAGTCACTTAGTATCCTTTTTGATTATCAAATTGAAAAAATAACCACATAATATGCAAGTTGGCACTATCCAGGGTTCCAGGCATTCTCTGGAGCTGGGGAACATATCTTCTATGATGAAGGGTAGACTAATATGCATCTTTTTTGGGGGGGAGGTACTGGGGATTGAACTCAGGGATGCTTATCCTCCAAGCCACATCCCCAGCCCCTTTTTAAATATCTTATTTAGAGTTAGGTTCTCGCTAAGTGGACTATACAACATTTTTTAAGGTTAATTGAGCAATTGTTACAAATAGCACACATACACATTTTATGTTCAAAACACTATTATTCATGACAATGAAAATTAGAAATAATCCAGAGGGGAAAGATGGCAGAGTAGAGGAAGGGTGTGATTTTCACTTGCTCTGGGACTCCAGATTCAGGTAGTGGAAATACCGCTTCCCAGTAAGGAGGATGACAAAGGAATACACCAAAATTCAATATCAGAATAATAGAGATGCATAAATTCAGGTGCTTGGAACATAGAACAGGAAAGGATACCTCAAGAACCCAGCCCATAATGCTAGCTCCAGGGAGGGGTGACACAGGCAAAAAGAGAGACAGAGTCTGTCAAGAAAATGTGGCATGGGGGGAAGCCATGGAAGAGAGGGGTGGTCTGAACTTCAGTGACCTGAGGCTGGGTGGGGAGTTGGTGTGGGAGGGTCCTTGCATTTGACTGGAGGGCAGAGAGCTGAGGCAAGACACCATCTCCAAGTGGCCTCTTGGGGACTTTCTGTTGCAGGAACAAGAATTCACAATAAGCTTAGCCAACTGCCCCTGCATGCACCTTCCCTGAGATCTAGGGTCCATCTGGAGGGTGCACTAACTTAGCACAGAATGGATTTCCCACCAGGGAATGCTCAGGCTGGGGGAGAGGAGCAGGATGAGGGGTTAGGAGGCTTGTGGAATTAGCCAGAGAGAACCTAGAAACTGAACAAGTGGAACATTTGCACTTGGGTCAAGACCAGTGGAGAGTTGGTCACTTTCTTCCAACAGTAAATAGGGTCCTGATGCATATTAAAAAAAACAAAAGTATGATCTGTGGGTGCATAGGTGTATACCCACATAAGAAACAAGTACATACAAAAAACTTGAAATGATAGAATTGGTTTTGCAGAGAAATGGACAAAAGATGAATTATTAAAAATAATTTTACTATCATGTATAACTATTTAAAACAAATTGTAAAAATGTTTAAAAAAGTAAGTTGACTTACTTAAAACAAAATCACTTACGCCATAGTAGAAACCCTTTCTACACCTCGAATGCTTTGCTTTTTAGTTGAGGTTATGCCATATTGCAATGCACTGTATAGCTAATTAAAACAAATTTAAATTAAAAAAAATTAAATACTTTATGTTAAAAAGAAAGCATTTAAATGAGTTTGTACCTCAAACTACATTAAAAATAACCACCTCCCTACATTTTTTAAGACTTTCAAGGACTAAAGGCAAAGTTTAAAATTTTACATAAAAATAGGGAATACTATCCTGAAGTTTGTAGGACAAGGGAATTGTTTGTTTTTTTTTAATTAAGATATATTTGGTTAAAGCATAGTATAAATTATATGACTTACTAGCCAATGCCAGCACCAAATTCCATCTGGGAATAGAATATTCATGTGCCATAATAAATGGTTTCTGTTGAATTGTTATCAAATCATATACTATTGATAATCTACTATTATAACCCCTGATAGCATCTAGCTCAGTTTCTAAACAAGGTATTAATTAGATTAGGTGCATGTGTTCACTCAGAGGACTTAACTGGCTTCTAATTTCCAAAGTCACAAACAATCACTTGACTCTGAACAATCTCTCTCTCTCTCTCTCTCTCTCTCTCTCTCTCTCTCTCTCTCTCTCTCTCTCTCTCTTCCAATTTGTCAGTTTTGTGGGTTGGTTGACTAATGCACAGGGACATGTATCCAAAGTCAAAGCACTATATGGAATAAGTTTTCTACATCTGAAATCCCCTTTAATTTATCCACTCATCTTATTATTAAATCCTTAGCAACAACTGATCATTTTGTTATCTCTATAGTTTTGCATTTTCTATAATACCGCATAGTTGAAATCATATATTGTATAGTCTTTTCAGACTGGCTTACTTGTATAAGTGTTTTGTAGAAGAGTTCAGCATTAACTAGGAATTAAATAGGATACACACATGCCATACACTCCAATATTTCTTCTGTGGTACAATTTATAGAATCTCTCTGATAAGCACACTGGATGCATGCAGTAGAATGTTAGTAGCATTGTTCATGATAGCTGATTGCTGAAAGCAAAAAAAAAAAAAAACATTAAAATAGATCAGAGAAGTCTGTTATAGTTTCACAGAGGAAGATGAAAATACAGAAACAAATTTCACAAAGGCAAGAGAAGACAACAAAAGCCAAATGGAGCAGAACACACTTAGTCTTTCACTTATATGCACAGCGGACAAAATTTATGGATCACTGAAGTGTTAAAACTCACATGAGAAGTGAATATTGCAAACAGTGAAGCTACTGGGTACCTCCAAGAGGAAAGAAGACACAATAGAGGAGGGATTGAATAGGCTTCAATCATATTGTTAGTTTTTTATTGTTTAAGCCTGCAGATTGTTAAGTGAATGTTTCTATTAAAATTATTTAAAATGCTATCATACCTCACATATGAAGAACTCATAAATGCATACATGCAATTACAACATCATGGATACACACACATATAATCAAATTATATATTTTATGTATGTTATTTCAATATTTTTCTCAAAATTAAAGTAAAATTTTTAGTAAATTGTTTAAAATATTGCTTGGGTTGAAAAACATCAAATGTCGAACAGGCCTCAGGATTTGACTTCTCACAAATATAGGAGGCTTATTGGCACATGGCTAGCTACTAAATGTCTCTCAATTCTTCCTTTATAACAAGAGTTAAAGGAATACAGAAACATCTGTCACAATAAGCAGCTTATAGCAATGGAGTTAAGTACCTTTGCCTGGAACAGAGGTAAGTTTCTCAAGGAATAAAGATAAAACTTGGCCGTATCTGATGGGAACACAGAACACTGCATTTATGTAGTTGGGTTAGGAAGTAACTATTTTCATTTTAAAACAAAACATAGTTGGATTAAACTGA